GAAGCATTTATTTCACCCGTGGTCGCCCGTTTCTGGCGTTCTTTATGCTGAGTTAACAAAGCGTCTGGTGTCCACGCAAGATAAGGACAGCTGCGGCTCTTGGCAGTAGGGCCCCTGGAGTGTGGCCTTTCTGATAGAACGCCAGTTAACGGCCCCTGGGGCTGAGGATTCCTAAATAGCCCAACTGCCGCAGCTGGGGGTGCTTTGCAATGAACATTCCCCCCATTATTGGTCACAGCAGCATCACATACGTCACCCGCGTGTCATTGCAGAAATATTTTCAAGTAAACGACAGGAATTAAAACAGTGCTCGGTAAATGTTCGTTGAACGAATGAACAGTGAGACGTATGAGTTAGGATTCTGTGGGTTGCAAGTGACAGAAATGCTTTCCTAATTAATAAGGAATAAAGAGGAAGCTTGTCATAAGGGTGGTGTGTTGGGGTCTGTCACAGAACCTGAGGGCAGGAAGCAGCTGGCCTAAGGTTTCCTCCCCATCCCAGTCATCGGCATGTTCTCTCTCTCTCTCTCTCTCTCTCTGATACCAGGCCTGGGGCCCACCAGGAGTCTATGATCCAGGCTGAGGGTGGCCCTCAGAAACCTACTGGAAGATCTGTACTCCCTCGTCCCAGTTCCCCAGGGTGGGGGTTGGTAGAGTCCAGTTGCCCCTGTTGGGGTCAAGTGTCTGCTCCTTCATTTGTTCATTCGTTTATTGGATAGCTACAGACATGGAGCTGGGAGCCACTCCCTAGAATTCTGTGGGTTGGGAGATGAAGGCAGTTCTTTGGAAGGGAGGTCCTTCTGGGGAGGGCACACACCCCAGGAAATCCCTGATGACTAAGGGTGTGTTGTGTTGACAAGGGACATGCCAGGAGGGGCAGGGCCGACTGCAGCCCCCAGCCCCAGCCTGGAGCCCCTGACCACCATCTCTCCCTTCCCCTTCCGTGCGCCCAGAGAAGATCTTCTCCGAGGTGATTCCCAAGTGTGAGAAATGTCAGAGCGTGGTGAAGCCTGGTGAGCTGTGGGGGCGGTGGCTGGCCCCACAACCCCTTCCCAACCAGGCCATGCTCCCCACCCCACCTGTCTCTCCCTGGCCAGCACCCCAAACCTGTCCTGGGGAGGATGGGGTTCTGTGCACCCAGGCAACCCTGCTGCTCCCCAGCTCTCATCCAGCCCTCAGGCCTGCCTTCCGCCCCTGCCTCTGCTGTCTCTCCGTTTCACTGTCTCTTTCTGTGTCTGTCTGTCTGTCTGCCCCCACCTCAGACATCGTGTTCTTCGGCGAGAACCTCCCAGCACATTTCTTCTCCTGCATGCAGTCAGTAAGTGTCCCCCCCACCCTGGTGCTGCCCCGGGGAAGGCCACGTCCCCAGCTGGCTGCTAGTGTGGGCGTGTGGTGGGGAGCAGGTATGCAGCCTCGCCTAGGGTCCCGGGCCCTCACTGGCCACCCCCCATCCCAGGACTTCCTGAAGGTGGACCTGCTGATCGTCATGGGCACCTCCCTGCAGGTGCAGCCCTTTGCATCCCTCATCAGCAAGTAGGTTGAGGTCGGGGCTGGGTGGCGGGGACTGGGCAGAGCTGGGCAGGCCCTCACCGCTCAGCTTGCCATCCCCCAGGGCACCCCTCTCCACCCCGCGCCTGCTCATCAACAAGGAGAAGACAGGCCAGGTGAGTCAGCCTTTATTCTCACACACACGCACACACGCACGCCCCTCTCTGCTGTCCTCCCCTTGCTCCTCCTCACTCTTGTCCCGGCACCCCCTCTCGCTGACTTCATCGGGGATGAGGGTACAGGCATCCAAAAGAGTTCCAACTTGGAAAGCCCAGCATTTGGATTCCAAAGCTCAGGCTCTGGGATTCTAGAATTCAGAGAGGTCTGGACTCTAGGCTCCTTCAACTCTAAGATCCCACAGGCCTCTGGATCATTCAGGGAGCCCCAGGCTGGGGGCCCAAACGGGTAAGTGCTTTCGACTACTAGCTGAAAGGTTGGTAGCTCAAACCCACCCAGAGGCACCTGGGAAGACAGGCCCGGCCATCTGCTTCTGAAAGGCCGCAAAGCCCTATGGAGCAGTTCTGCTCTGCGCATGAAGTCACCGTGAGTCATCAGATCGACTCCACAGCCCCTAGCAACAACTAGATCACTGAGGACCCTCTCAGGCAAGTGACAGAAACCCAGCTCAAACCAGCTTGAGCCAGCAAAGGAACAGTGTGTGTCCTGGGACTGCAAAGCCTGGGGCTGGCGGATCTAACCTCCACAGTGCTGCCAGGAGCCACCCTCTCCCTCTGAGCTCTCTCTTTCCTGGGGTGGCCTCACTCTCAGGCAGGTGCTCCATCCTGAGGACCCCCTGCTCCTCCTTCCTGGGCCCTTGTTCTCACCCAGCTGCAGGGTTTGCTCTGATTGGCTGCCCTAGAGTCACACGCACGCTCCTGAACTCAGCAATCCTGTGTCCAAGAAGGCTCGGCCACTGTTGTTGGCCAGGCCTGGGTCCCAGGACTCCCCACCCTTAGAGCCCTGGTTTGGGGCTGTATTATCTGAACCCAGCAGTCTGAGAGCAGGGGATGATGTTTCCCAAAAGGGAAATCAGGGCATGGAGGGGAGCCAGCAAAAACATACTGTGTGCCAGCGTCTTAGTTATCTAGGCAGCTGTCACGGAAATACCACAGGTGGGTGGCTTGAAGAAACAGGAATGTACTTCCTCCCAGTTAGGAGGCTAGAAGTCAGAATTCAGGGCGCTGGCTCTAGGGGAAGGCTTTCTCTCTCTGTCGGCTCTGGGGGAAGGTCCTCGTCTCTTCAGCTTCAGTTTCCGGGTTCCTTGGAGAGCTCCCTGTGTCTTGGCAGCTCTCTTCCCCCATCTTTGTTCACTTGCTTGCTTGTTTAATCTGTTTTGTATCTCAAAAGAGATTGATTTAAGACACATCCTGCATGAATCCTTCCTCATTAACATAACAAAGACATCCCATTCTAACCACAGGCATAAACCAAGAAAACCAAACCCATTACCCTGGAGTCGATTCTGACTCACAGCCATGCTATAGGACGGAGTAGAACTGCCCCATAGGGTTTCCAAGGAGCGTCTGGTGGATTCAAACTGCAGACCTTTCGGTTAGCAGCTGAGCTCTTAACCACTGCGCCACCAGGGCTCCCCCCACAAGCATAGACGTTAGGATTTACAACACATGTATTTTGGGGGACACAATTCAATCTGTAATAGCTAGGTATAGTTTAAGCATTTTATGTGTTAACTCACTGAGATTATAACCCTATGAGGGGATACAATGACCATCCCCCGTTCTACAGCTAAGGAAACTGAGGCACAGAGAAGCCAAGTCACTTGACCAAAGTCACAGAAGAAAAATACCAAAACCCTCTGCCGTGGAGTCAATTCTGACTCATAGCGACCCTATAGGACAGAGTAGGACTGCTCCATAGGGTTTCCAAGGCTGTAATCTTTACAGAAGCAGACTGCCACATCTTTCTTCCATGAAGCAGCTGGTGGGTTCAAACCCCTGTCCTTTCGGTTAACAGCCGAGCGCTTTAACCCCTGTGCCGCGGGGGCTTCTAAAGTCACAGAGCCAGGATCCAAACCCAGGCCAGCTGGCTCCAGAGTCTGTGCTCTTAACGCCATTCCTTCCCGCACAGACTGACCCTTTCCTGGGCATGATGATGGGCCTTGGAGGAGGCATGGACTTCGACTCCAAGAAGGCCTACAGGTGAGGCCCGGATCTGGGGTGGGCTGGAGCCAGAAGCAGCCGGGTCAAGGTGGGAGGGAGGGCCAAGGGCAGCACCCTGAGAGAGCTGTCGGCCACGCAGCACAGAAGGTTGGGGCTCTGACTCTCCGCCTGCTCCCACAGGGATGTGGCCTGGCTGGGTGATTGTGACCAGGGCTGCCTGGCCCTTGCTGATCTCCTCGGATGGAAGGTGAGGAGGCTGGGCGACTCCAGCCCTCCCAAGCCCAGTCCAGGACTCTGTTCCTGCCCCACAGGTCCTCTGACCCCATGACCTGCTCTGTGAACTTTGCCCCTTACAGAAGGAACTGGAGGATCTTGTCCAGAAGGAGCACGCCGCCATAGATGCCAAGTCAGTGTCGGGGGGCCCCAACCCCGGCATTTCCACTTCCCCCAGGAAGTCTCCTCCGCCCGCCAAGGAGGAGGCCAGAACCACGGAGGGGGAGAAACCCCAGTGAGACCGCATCTCCCTGGCAGGATGCCCGGCTCCTGTGGGGACAGCTGGGCCTCAGCCAGGCTGGCCCCTCTCTAACTCGCAGCTGTTGTGAGAGAGCTGAGAACCACTCTTAACCACCCCCTCCCCAAACTGGGGTCCCAGCCCCCCAACCCCGGCACAGATCTAACATCCCCCAGGGGCCAGGTTTGAGCAGCCCGTCCCTAACAGCCCCGATCTCTAACCACTTCCAGGGCCAAGGACCAACCTTTAATCTCTAACTGCTCCCAGGGGCTGGGGGTGCCCCTACACCTCTAACTGCCCCAGGACGGGGGTCCGAGGACCCCACTCTGTACTCCTGGGGCCAGGTGGGCCAGGTCTAACCTCCTGTGGGCTAGGGCTGAAGGCCTCCCATGTCTCTGCCTCCAACTTTAAAGTGGGTGCTGCACCCCCTTCACCCAGGACCCACTTTCCACGTGGGGATGGGTGGAAGAGGTTGCTTCTTAGAGACAAATAAAAAAACAAAAAGCACTCAGCTGTCTGGCCTGGCTGTTCTTGCTGTGGACACATTGGGGAGGAGCTGGAGGGAGAGCATTGGATCTTAGGCCCGGAGAAAACCAGAACATCAGCAGGCTCTTGTGGGAAGTGGGGTGAGGGTGCCTCCTGGGTATGGGGGCGCCTCGTGGCTCTTACCCCTGAGCTCGCAGCCTGCCAGGGTCCCTTCCTTCACAGCCTGCTGGTCACCTAAGATCCGAGCCCCCGGAAAAGGGGAGGAAGGTCGATTTCATATACCCCCCCCAGCCCCGCCCCTTCCCCCCAGCCGCTCAGCTTCCTCTCTCTGCAAGGAACGCTTTCACTTCCTGCTACACAGGCCTCCCCTCGGAAAACAGGTAGGGGCCCCCAGGGACCCGAGCATCTTGCTTCTCCGCCCCCCACTGCCTCCTTTGGTATCAGAGAGGTGCCCCCATCCTACCCTGCCCAACACCACCCCCATCTCTAGCGCCCAGGCAGGCATCTGCCTCCTTCCAGCCCTCCTCTGCCCACCCCTGGACACCTGTCTTCTGCCCTGCCCCTACCTAACACCTGGGCTTCTGGTCAGCGAGCGAATTTATTTGTTTAGATGTTGATTATCCATCTCCTACGTCCACCCCAAGCAAGAATGGAAACCCCTGAGAGCAGGGGCCTGGTCTGTCCACCCCAGGGCAGTAGCCCCTACTTCTGGGCCTGTACTCAAGTATTTGTTGGATGGATGGATGGATGGGTGGGTGGATGGATGGGTGGATGGATGGATGGATGGGTGGATGGATAGATGGGTGGATGGATGGATGGATGGGTGGGTGAGTGAATGGATGGGTGGGTGGATGGATGGGTGGATGGATGGTGGATGGATGGAGACTCCCTGACCGAAATATTTCCCACTCCCAGGACTGCTACAGGGAAAATAATTCAAAAATGCCCACCCCACAGTGATAACCCATGTAGAACTCTGTACCTGGTTAAGAGTTGGGGTTCAATGGATGGATGGAGGAATAGAGGGATAGATGTGTGATAAGGCAAAAAGAGTGAAAGCGTTAATGGTACATCTAAGGGGTGGGCATATGGGTGTCTCCTGGAAAATTCTTCTAGTTTTTCTGTATGTTTGAAAATCTTTGTAATACAACGTTGAGGGTGGGGGAAATTCAAATGACACTCCGTGGTCTGCGAAGAAGGAGGAGAGACTGTTGTCTAACACTTGGCACATCTATGGCGTGCCTGCTACGGCCAGCACTTTTCCAGGCGCTGGGCTTTGGCCAAGTGTTGTTATTCCGTGAGTATACACTGGTGAGGCCACATCAGCTGTTAAAATCTTGAACTATTTCCCTACGGCCTGCAAATAGTAAACAGCTGTTGTTTTGAGTCCCCACTGCCCCCCAAGACCACCGCCTCTCTGCTGGGGTCCCCAGTCTCCCCACCATTTAGCAGCTTAAAAAAGTAACGCCTGGCCTAGCAAGGGGCCTCTGGGGCTCATTCTGGTTGGCCAGGGTCTCTGCCATGTTGGTTGTAAACTTTGCTCCCTGGGCTGGAGCAGCCTTGAACACCGTCTCCCTCCCTAGCAGGGTCCAGACCATGGCCCACCGGCCTCCTGCATCCTGAGGATGGCCCAGCTGGAGGACAAGGACTCCGCTGCCCCCACCAATGGGGAGAGGTGAGGGCTGCTGGAGCTGGGGTCTCCATCTCTGCCCCGATCCAGAAACTGTTCACCCAATGCTCACCTCCCACAGGACCCCAAAACCCACTCTCTGACCTTTCATCCCTGGAATGCCCCCTCCTGAGTGCCCGACACCCACCTCTGGCCCCTGACCTGCATCCTGCCCGTCCCAGGCTGGCCCCATTGCAGGTGAATGGAGCAGGAGAGACCCCTCTAGGGGTCCTGAGGTCCCCAGAGCCACTCCTTCGCCTTCGGAGGACATGGGGGGTGTGGCAGATCCCAGAGCTGGATGCCCAGGATGCAAAGGCCCTGCTGGAACTGTGGCCACTGGGGGTGAGTGCTCACAGCTGGGGGCCCACTCTGACGGCCTATGACACCCTGATCAGCCAGGACTTGGCTGGGTGCTAGTGACAAGCCTCCACAGACAGAGAAACTAAGCAGGCTGCTTTCTTCTCCCCCTCCCCTCCCCTCCTCCTCCC